GGAGGAGAACGAGGGAGACTAGACCTGAGTTCTTCATCCCTCTACATCTCAGCGAGTAAACCTCTGAGTCTTTGTCGACCTTGTGACGATGTGAAGACGAAAATTCCACTCTCCTCAGAGAAGGAACTCACATCGCAACACGACCAACATGCTTCTCTGCCCTTCACTGTCTCGCTTCCCTTCAAGCAGCCGGTCGACCACTGCGCTGATGTCCTCCCTTCCCTCCTCTCCCTCCCTTATCTATCCTCTCGTCGATCCCCTCCTCCTCCATCTCGTCGTCGTCGTCGTCATCGTCGTCGTCGTCGTCGTCATTACAGTTGCCTCCCTTCTGCTTCTTCTCCTTCTCTTTGCGGATCTTCGTGAAGTACTTCTGCGCATGTGAACGCACTTGGGCTGGTGTGCGAGTTTTCAGCACCAGGGAGATTGTTTCTGCCACTCCAGCACCTAGTCCAAGAGGAGGATCATCAGTCAAACTCTTGTCTCGCAGCTTCTCGAACATCTCCACAAACGTCCCGTGCTCCACACTCGTCCACTGCCTCCTCACCCTCTTTGACTTCGCCTCCCTTACTGCTGCTGCATCCTTTGACGAACATGCTCTACCGTGCCCCCCCACGTCCCCCTTCTTTCGAGTCATGCTCGCCACCAGTGCGCCTGAGCATCGGTGCAAGCTCCTGCCTTCGTCTCCTGCCATGTCCTCCGTGAGGGCTGCCGGCACCAACTCCAACTCTCTGCTGGCTATGGTGCACTTGGAGGAGTGAAAGTCCTCGAGGAAGGGGTCGACAGCATGAGCGCCAGCTCCCAACTTGGCGTCCTCATCCTCTGCTGTAGAGAAGATGTTCTCAATGGCATCGACGAGTGTTTCTGGTCGCGGGGGGGCGTAAGTTGGCAGAGCAGGGCTCTGCCCCTCCTCTCCGCGTGAAGCTTGACCCTCGTGACTCGTCAGGGTATCTGACGGATGCCCCTCCATGCCAGGGCGTCGGAAGCTGAGCAAGTCAGGGGCGGACCTTTCGTTACGGTCCTTCAGCCTGCCCAGTCAAACCTATGCAGTGAAAGTCCGTGAGAATCAGCGGCTGTGAGTGGACAAAAGGCACTCATCGATTATGGTTCTCTTGTAGACACATGCTCCCTATTGCTGCCTCCTCTGCTAACAACAAGTACAACCACCACTTCCTTGGAGCGATTTTGAGCAAACAATGTGACGAAGAGACGTGCTTCTTGCTGCTACTGTGTTCTTCTTCCAACATATCTTGAAGCGCACCCTACTCTTCCGTGTATCTCCTGACTGCTTGGGAGTGAAATAAGCCCTTTTTGTCTCGAGTCTGTCGCTCTCCTCTCCTCTCCTCGTCTCTCCTCTCCTCTTCTCTTCTCTCCCCTGATGTCTCATCTCCTCTTCTGTCCTCTCCTTCTCTGACTCCACGTCCTGCTTCTGAGCCACTTCTCTCCCCTGATGTCTCTTCTCCTCTCCTCCCCTCTCCTCCTCTCCCCACTTCTCGCCTGATCCTGAGGACTATTTTTTTATCCCCTCCACTGCATATCCATCGAAAAAAACATATTTTCCGAAACCTCGACTTTTGGATATACTCAGTTTCAATAATGCATCGCTTCAGACTCATTTCCGAAGGCACCAGGCAACCCGCCTCAGCAACGACCTTTCAGCGGGCCCTACGGGTATATCTCCTTTTAAAAACACGTGCGACTATATCGAGCCCGCCTCGTGGCCTGTCACAAGGCCTTACACGAAGCCAATAATGACGGTCAGCCTTGTTGCTGCCAAGTTGACCCGCGTGAGTTGACCCTTACAAGTTCAAGTCCACTTCGAGGCTCGGACCGGCTGGCTCCGACGGATCTGCCAGTTGGCGATCAGAAGGTCACGACCGTCCCCGGGGCGGTTCGGAAGGCAAGTTCCGAGCAAGGCCAGCGGCCGGCGGCACCGCCGGGCTTGGGCCCGGCCAGGCCTAGCCCCGCCGAGGCTCGGAGTCCGCCATGTCCGTCTGATACCGGGCCGGCGTACAAGCCTGGCAAGGGCGTACAAGCCTTGAAGCCTGCAGGCGTACAAGCAAGCTGAAAAAGAAGACTTCTCTCTTGTGCAAGAGGTCAAATCTTCTTCTCCTCGTTTCCGAAGTTCCTCCTCCTCCTGATCCTCGGGGGCCTCCTCCTCCATATCTTCAAGGCTTCCGAAGTTCCTCCTCCTCCTCCCTTCTCCCTCCTCCTAATCATCATCATCATCATCCCCCATGATCATCATCCCATGATCATCACCATCACCACCATCACCATCATATCAATATTACATTATCATTTTGGCCGTGGTCATAGTCGTCTGAAGCATCATCGCGTCATCCTCTTGCCTTTTCTTCTTTTCCGGCTTACTTGTCTGCAGCTCCACGAGCTCTTCAAAGATCCATACGGCGTCAACGTGGATCAGGTTCGTCTCCACTTGGGCCTCCTGACGGTGACGGTCAAGTGCCATCGGCAGAGCCTCGTCGACAAGTACTACAAGCTCGCGCCCAAGGAGGCCTTCACCAAGCTGGGCACGGCCTCGATGACCTGTAAGATATGCTCTCCTGCTTTCCTCCAGCTGAAAGTGTGGGCAGGATCTTCGTAGGCAGTTTCCAGCTACAGCACGTGCTCCATGTGCTGGGGCGCAGCTGGAGACTGCCGAGAAGATGTAGGGAGAGAGGAGCTCTAGATGCTCTCGTGACGTTTCTCCCTGAAACGCAAAGCGCGGGGAAGAGCCGATTGAGCATGGACCAGGAGCTTCTGGGCTCGGAGAAAGGGAGGAGGAGGAGGAGGAGAACGAGGGAGACTAGAACTGAGTTCTTCATTCCTCTACATCTCAGCGAGTAAACCTCTGAGTCTTTGTCGACCTTGTGACGATGTGAAGACGAAAATTCCACTCTCCTCAGAGAAGGAACTCACATCGCAACACGACCAACATGCTTCTCTGCCCTTCACTGTCTCGCTTCCCTTCAAGCAGCCGGTCGACCACTGCGCTGATGTCCTCCCTTCCCTCCTCTCCCTCCCTTATCTTTAGCCCTCTCTTCGATCCCCTGCTCCTCCATCTCGTCGTCGTCGTCGTCGTCGTCGTCGTCATTATCACAGTTGCCTCCCTCCTGCTTCTTCTCCTTCTCTTTGCGGATCTTCGTGAAGTACTTCTGCGCATGTGAACGCACTTGGGCTGGTGTGCGAGTTTTCAGCACCAGGGAGATTGTTTCTGCCACTCCAGCACCTAGTCCAAGAGGAGGATCATCAGTCAAACTCTTGTCTCGCAGCTTCTCGAACATCTCCACAAACGTCCCGTGCTCCACACTCGTCCACTGCCTCCTCACCCTCTTTGACTTCGCCTCCCTTACTGCTGCTGCATCCTTTGACGAACATGCTCTACCGTGCCCCCCCACGTCCCCCTTCTTTCGAGTCATGCTCGCCACCAGTGCGCCTGAGCATCGGTGCAAGCTCCTGCCTTCGTCTCCTGCCATGTCCTCCGTGAGGGCTGCCGGCACCAACTCCAACTCTCTGCTGGCTATGGTGCACTTGGAGGAGTGAAAGTCCTCGAGGAAGGGGTCGACAGCATGAGCGCCAGCTCCCAACTTGGCGTCCTCATCCTCTGCTGTAGAGAAGATGTTCTCAATGGCATCGACGAGTGTTTCTGGTCGCGGGGGGGCGTAAGTTGGCAGAGCAGGGCTCTGCCCCTCCTCTCCGCGTGAAGCTTGACCCTCGTGACTCGTCAGGGTATCTGACGGATGCCCCTCCATGCCAGGGCGTCGGAAGCTGAGCAAGTCAGGGGCGGACCTTTCGTTACGGTCCTTCAGCCTGCCCAGTCAAACCTATGCAGTGAAAGTCCGTGAGAATCAGCGGCTGTGAGTGGACAAAAGGCACTCATCGATTATGGTTCTCTTGTAGACACATGCTCCCTATTGCTGCCTCCTCTGCTAACAACAAGTACAACCACCACTTCCTTGGAGCGATTTTGAGCAAACAATGTGACGAAGAGACGTGCTTCTTGCTGCTACTGTGTTCTTCTTCCAACATATCTTGAAGCGCACCCTACTCTTCCGTGTATCTCCTGACTGCTTGGGAGTGAAATAAGCCCTTTTTGTCTCGAGTCTGTCGCTCTCCTCTCCTCTCCTCGTCTCTCCTCTCCTCTTCTCTTCTCTCCCCTGATGTCTCATCTCCTCTTCTGTCCTCTCCTTCTCTGACTCCACGTCCTGCTTCTGAGCCACTTCTCTCCCCTGATGTCTCTTCTCCTCTCCTCCCCTCTCCTCCTCTCCCCACTTCTCGCCTGATCCTGAGGACTATTTTTTTATCCCCTCCACTGCATATCCATCGAAAAAAACATATTTTCCGAAACCTCGACTTTTGGATATACTCAGTTTCAATAATGCATCGCTTCAGACTCATTTCCGAAGGCACCAGGCAACCCGCCTCAGCAACGACCTTTCAGCGGGCCCTACGGGTATATCTCCTTTTAAAAACACGTGCGACTATATCGAGCCCGCCTCGTGGCCTGTCACAAGGCCTTACACGAAGCCAATAATGACGGTCAGCCTTGTTGCTGCCGAGTTGACCCGCGTGAGTTGACCCTTACAAGTTCAAGTCCACTTCGAGGCTCGGACCGGCTGGCTCCGACGGATCTGCCAGTTGGCGATCAGAAGGTCACGACCGTCCCCGGGGCGGTTCGGAAGGCAAGTTCCGAGCAAGGCCAGCGGCCGGCGGCACCGCCGGGCTTGGGCCCGGCCAGGCCTAGCCCCGCCGAGGCTCGGAGTCCGCCATGTCCGTCTGATACCGGGCCGGCGTACAAGCCTGGCAAGGGCGTACAAGCCTTGAAGCCTGCAGGCGTACAAGCAAGCTGAAAAAGAAGACTTCTCTCTTGTGCAAGAGGTCAAATCTTCTTCTCCTCGTTTCCGAAGTTCCTCCTCCTCCTGATCCTCGGGGGCCTCCTCCTCCATATCTTCAAGGCTTCCGAAGTTCCTCCTCCTCCTCCCTTCTCCCTCCTCCTAATCATCATCATCATCATCCCCCATGATCATCATCCCATGATCATCACCATCACCACCATCACCATCATATCAATATTACATTATCATTTTGGCCGTGGTCATAGTCGTCTGAAGCATCATCGCGTCATCCTCTTGCCTTTTCTTCTTTTCCGGCTTACTTGTCTGCAGCTCCACGAGCTCTTCAAAGATCCATACGGCGTCAACGTGGATCAGGTTCGTCTCCACTTGGGCCTCCTGACGGTGACGGTCAAGTGCCATCGGCAGAGCCTCGTCGACAAGTACTACAAGCTCGCGCCCAAGGAGGCCTTCACCAAGCTGGGCACGGCCTCGATGACCTGTAAGATATGCTCTCCTGCTTTCCTCCAGCTGAAAGTGTGGGCAGGATCTTCGTAGGCAGTTTCCAGCTACAGCACGTGCTCCATGTGCTGGGGCGCAGCTGGAGACTGCCGAGAAGATGTAGGGAGAGAGGAGCTCTAGATGCTCTCGTGACGTTTCTCCCTGAAACGCAAAGCGCGGGGAAGAGCCGATTGAGCATGGACCAGGAGCTTCTGGGCTCGGAGTGAGGGAGGAGGAGGAGGAGGAGGAGAACGAGGGAGACTAGAACTGAGTTCTTCATTCCTCTACATCTCAGCGAGTAAACCTCTGAGTCTTTGTCGACCTTGTGACGATGTGAAGACGAAAATTCCACTCTCCTCAGAGAAGGAACTCACATCGCAACACGACCAACATGCTTCTCTGCCCTTCACTGTCTCGCTTCCCTTCAAGCAGCCGGTCGACCACTGCGCTGATGTCCTCCCTTCCCTCCTCTCCCTCCCTTATCTTTAGCCCTCTCTTCGATCCCCTGCTCCTCCATCTCGTCGTCGTCGTCGTCGTCGTCGTCGTCGTCATTATCACAGTTGCCTCCCTCCTGCTTCTTCTCCTTCTCTTTGCGGATCTTCGTGAAGTACTTCTGCGCATGTGAACGCACTTGGGCTGGTGTGCGAGTTTTCAGCACCAGGGAGATTGTTTCTGCCACTCCAGCACCTAGTCCAAGAGGAGGATCATCAGTCAAACTCTTGTCTCGCAGCTTCTCGAACATCTCCACAAACGTCCCGTGCTCCACACTCGTCCACTGCCTCCTCACCCTCTTTGACTTCGCCTCCCTTACTGCTGCTGCATCCTTTGACGAACATGCTCTACCGTGCCCCCCCACGTCCCCCTTCTTTCGAGTCATGCTCGCCACCAGTGCGCCTGAGCATCGGTGCAAGCTCCTGCCTTCGTCTCCTGCCATGTCCTCCGTGAGGGCTGCCGGCACCAACTCCAACTCTCTGCTGGCTATGGTGCACTTGGAGGAGTGAAAGTCCTCGAGGAAGGGGTCGACAGCATGAGCGCCAGCTCCCAACTTGGCGTCCTCATCCTCTGCTGTAGAGAAGATGTTCTCAATGGCATCGACGAGTGTTTCTGGTCGCGGGGGGGCGTAAGTTGGCAGAGCAGGGCTCTGCCCCTCCTCTCCGCGTGAAGCTTGACCCTCGTGACTCGTCAGGGTATCTGACGGATGCCCCTCCATGCCAGGGCGTCGGAAGCTGAGCAAGTCAGGGGCGGACCTTTCGTTACGGTCCTTCAGCCTGCCCAGTCAAACCTATGCAGTGAAAGTCCGTGAGAATCAGCGGCTGTGAGTGGACAAAAGGCACTCATCGATTATGGTTCTCTTGTAGACACATGCTCCCTATTGCTGCTTCCGCTACTAACAACAAGTACAACCACCACTTCCTTGGAGCGATTTTGAGCAAACAATGTGACGAAGAGACGTGCTTCTTGCTGCTACTGTGTTCTTCTTCCAACATATCTTGAAGCGCACCCTACTCTTCCGTGTATCTCCTGACTGCTTGGGAGTGAAATAAGCCCTTTTTGTCTCGAGTCTGTCGCTCTCTTCTCCTCTCCTCGTCTCTCCTCTCCTCCTCTCCCCACTCCTCGCCTGATGATCCTGAGGACTATTTTTTTATCCCCCCACTGCATATCCATCGAAAAAAACATATTTTCCGAAACCTCGACTTTTGGATATACTCAGTTTCAATAATGCATCGCTTCCGAAGGCACCAGGCAACCCGCCACGTGCGACTATATCGAGCCCGCCTCGTGGCCTGTCACAAGGCCTTACACGAAGCCAATCTGCATCCAATAATGGCGGTCAGCCTTGTTGCTTCCAAGTTGACCCGCGTGACCGTGAGTTGACCCTTTCAAGCTCGGGGACCGGCCGACGGATCTGCCAGTTCAACGGTTGGCGATCGGACGGTCACAACTGGCAAGTTCGGCAAACCGGCATATGCTGCCTACCCCGTTATGCTAGGTCAAAATACCGGTGGGTCCCACCCTCCTACATGATAGGACCCCCGCATTTTGCCTGGATAGGGAACTGAAGCATTTGTACGTAAAAAAAAAATGATGCCGAGAGTAACGTGACTGCTGAGCAATTATAATGGACCCTATCGTGTCTCGTATGGACCCCTGGGACCCCCACTAATCGAACAGAGCAACCCCTGTCATCAGGTCATGTCACCATCCGTTTGTCATGAGCAGCAGACGTCATCGCTCGTGCTCCTACCAACCGTCTATACGTGTTATACCAAGGATGATCTAGAACTGTTCTTCCTTTGTCATCAAATCCGGAATAAACCTTTCCTTACTCCCCTTCCTTTTGCTCTTCATCATCTCCAGAATTCCCTTCATTCCTTCATCGCTTCAGTCCTTTCCTCTCCACCAAAGTGCTACTTCGTTGTTCCGTACATCGTTCGATTGTCCGAATCAGAACTACTGATTCAGGAGCTCACCTTGTGATCTACCCTACGGCTTGTTGGGAGCGTATCAGGCAGCATAGCAGCCGGTCTTATTGCGCTCATCAGAGTTGTCCCTTCTGCAATTGCTAAGGTCCCTTCTGCGCTCAGCAATTGCTTCCTGTTTCAGAGGAAGTTCGGTTCAGACCCGGTAACTTTCACACCAACTGATGCGGTCTTGAAAGCGAAGCTTCCGCCCGAAAACGGGAATGGGGTAGTAGGGTACTGTGTTTGGTAGTGATCACCCCCGCCTGCAGCCTCCAATGCTCGCCTGCCCCCCTGTCACCGGCTTCCTCTCCTCCTTGATCTGCTCCTCCCTACCCTCCTCCCTCCTGGTGACTGCATGCCTTCTGTCGACACCAAGTCCAACCTCTCCGCCTCCTCCCTCGACGACGCCATCTCTCAGATCGTCGTTGAGCCCCATGACCTCGCCTCGTTCATAGACTTCGCAGACCTGGAGGCGAGCAGCAACGACGAGCTCGCTGAGTTCGAGTCTACGTCGGTACCAGCGTGTGAGGCAGAGGAGGAAGGGACAGCAGCAGCACTGCCGCTCCTCGTTGCGACTACTCTGGACGTACAGCCATCACTTAGTTTGAAGCGTACAGATTTGTGAAGAACAACAAACGCAACCAGCAAGCTTGTGTGTCATACCGCCAGAAGAAGCAGAAGTGCGAGGACGGGAGGCCATGCCATCGCTGCATCAATGCACACAGCAAGTGCACGGACGACGACACGGAGAGCGTGAAGAGGAGAAGGCTTGACGATCCTGCTGAGGGTGTGAACCATGCACCTAGTAGTTGGAGCTGACAGGTTCCAGCAATTCGCAGAAAGAGAGCGCTATTGTTGGGCTTTATTGCTGATCACTGAGTTGACGATCACCAGTCCTCAGGTGACGAAGAGTTGCTGAAGCCAGTGCGACACTGATCGGGGCTGAAGTTAGCATGAAGAGCCTGAGCACCGGGGGGGAGGCTGGAGGGATCCGCCGACTCCGACTCATTGGACTCCGAGCGCCCTTCCACCATTTTTTCCGGCACTGCGCCTTCTATCCTTGGAGAAGAGCTCGGAGTAAAGAAAGAGTTGTTCGGGCTGTCCTCCTCGATGGATATGAAATCTCCAAACGCATTAGCAGGGGGAGTTTTCCACAGTCTCCCTTCCAACCAGCGACTCTCGTCCTTGGCTGTCTGGTCCACGTAGCGAGAGTGGATCAGCGGAATCGCTGTTGCGTCCCGACCTCCCGAGTCTCCATCTACCATCCAGGTGATGCAGCCCGTCACTGCTTCTTGCTCTCCGACAGCCTGGCTCATGTATGCTCTCACCTGCTGCCTCAGCGCGCGGTTTTCCTTCTGCCTGCGAGGGGAGGAGTCAGAGCTGATCTCGTCAGGTCGGGGACTCACATATCTGAGATCAGGGAGTGAAGACGAGTGCGATCTTCGGTCAGGTACATGATAGCCTTGCGCTGCTGCACGATCAGCTCAGAAGCATCGCGCCTTGCTCGGTGCAGCTGCTTCTGAAGATCATTCGCGTGCTCGCTCCACTTCTTCCTGGGAGGGCATCAGTGATGACACGAAAGCATCGCCTGCTCGACCACCTAGTCTGCTCCTCGTATGCCAGCTGATTCTGCAGTCCTTTCAGCCTCTCCTCCAGCGCGAGGATCGTTGCAGAAGAAGCTTGTCTGAGCGAAGCGATCTGGTGCTCCCACCTGCTCATACTCGCGGTGCCTTGACTGTCGGCAGAGTCGGGGAACGCAGCTCCTGCTCGCCCTCGCTCTGGGCTTTGAGCTGGCATACGCTCTAACTCTTCTGCGGGCTTGTCCTCACCTGCTCCTCTTGTCCTTTCCACTTCTGCTCCTCCTGACTCTGATCCTTTGACCGACCTTGTGCCTCCTCCGTTAGCGTCCATATCTGATTCTTCGGCAGGCCATACCACGAGCCCCCCGATGGCAGGGAGCTGGTAGCCCCTCGCCTCCCGCTTGTCTCCTCCTCCTCCCTCCTCCTCCTCCCACCCTCTGTGACGCTGCAGCATCTTCTCCACCCGCGCGTCCAAGTCCGACATTGCGGTCAAGCAAAAAAAAAATCAAGTATACAAAGGCGGGAAAACAGCAAGGGAGAGGGCGGGAAGGAGAAAGATGTTGGCAAGCAGGAGGGAGGGAGGGAGGGAGGGAGGGAGGGAGAGAGAGATGGAGAGGGAGAGAGGGAGCAGAGCAGAGGGACGGACGGACGGACGGGCGGACGGACGGACGGACGGACGGAGAGCAGGGATGCAGGGTTGAATAGTTCTCGCATGTTTCAACAAACATTTCCATAGTTTCCTTACCCATGGTAAGATGGTGGTCAATGTATCGATTGATAATCACAAGACACGAGATTGTATGTAGGTAGAACAGAGGAGCATACAGATGATGATGTTTTCAGAACTATTTCGAGGAAAGGAAGTGCGAGAGCAGGTTTAGTTGAATTAGTGGGATGATGATACAGAATGTTCATCAGGCTGCCAGTATCAAACTCATTCAGCCACAACCATCGGGGTGATTTCGCTGTATCGCTATCAAGAAGTGCGCGATGTGTCGCAACACTCGTCTGCGGGTCTTTGACTATTTGAATCTAGCTCGCTACTGCTTTTCCTTCCTCATCTGAGCGAACAAACGCGATCTGCAGGCTCAGTCTTTCAGTCTTTGCCCTTTAAGGGAGGATTCCTACGACTGCAAAAAAGAGTGACCGAAACGTGATCGCACGAGTGTCCCACCAGTAGCACTTGCCAAGATAACCCATCATTCGTTGAAGCAGATGATACCTGCACTGATTGATTTGGGAAGTGCGCACGAGAGAAAGAGAGTCCGTCATAGTGCATGCTATTCCCTCTTGCCTGGTCCTCATTTCTCAGTTGCAAGTGCATTTCCAAAGAGCTTGTTGAGGGAATCGGCCGATTCCAGAGTGTTGGAGAGAAAAAAGAAACACATGGTTGAACTCTTGCACTTCATTCAAGACTTCCGGGTCGGCCATAGGACTTGCTCTCTCTCTCTGTCTCTCTCTCTGTCTCTCTGTCTCTCTCTCTCTCTCCGTCCCTCCCTCCCTCCCTCCCTCTCTGTCTCTCTCTCTTCCAGTCAAGGGTTGGATATTGGGGGGTGCAAGTCAGTTCATTTTCCCTTCTTGTTCCGTTTTTTGGGAGGCCCGCTGGAGGGAGAAGGTAGCTCGTCGTCAACTCCTTCTTCTTCATATCTGCGAGCGCAAGTCAAGAGCGATCGTAGGATATGCACATCTAGTCACCCGTCTTCCGCATGCGCTGTCGATGGATTCGAGTCATCGTTGATCTTCTCAGTCAAGAACTTCTGAGTCTTGTCTTGCAGCTCATGCTGAGTCAGTAGTGTCACAGCCATGTGATGTACCAGCACAAGGACAGAACATTACAAGCTTTGTTAACATTGCGCTCAGTCCCTTCGTGCTCGCATCCGAGGGATGCAAAGTCTCATAACACTCTTGGAACGTCTGCTCCTCTGCACCCGGAAGGGTGATTCTGCAGTGATGTCTAGTCAAGTTTCTTATCATTGAAGTGCAGAGCATCACCTGACTGTTATGTTGTGCGACATGAGCTGAGAAATGTTCTAGATGGCCAGTCAAACTTAGGGGTAGCGCTGCTCAGTTGGCGAAGGTCAAACAAGGGCCAGAACTCCTGTTCGAGGATGAATCGAGGGGTATGAGGATTGGTAAAGGAATGAAGCTGAAGAGAGGAGGAGAATGACCGAAATGCGATCAGATAACAACCATGATCCCCCTTCTTCACTCCCTCGCGCCGCGGGCCATTGCGATCCGCCTTGACAGTTACGAAGAAAATAACGATTGGTTCCAGGACAGACGTTACAATACCGTTATTTTCATATCTTACCTCCGGGCACTTGGCTGACATTTGTTTTTTAGTCAAGTTTTATACATAACAGTTTAGTCAACTCGAACCCGGTACTAGAAGTCTGCTCGGGTCTGCTCACAGATGATGTTGCCATGCTGGCTGTGCCGCCTGTTGCATGGCTGAAGCTTCGCGCTGCCTTGCTCCATCTGTCTCGCTCCTCCCTCTCTTGTGGTCCTCAGATCACCATAGCTGCCGCATGCTCCTTCCTGCTCCTCGGCGTGATACCCCATGCTCTTCTCAATCGACCCTTCAGATCACACATGAGCGCACTCTCTTGCTTCTTGTCTTGTGTAGGGCGGTCCCTGCCTTCTGTTCTGCTTCATGCACTGATCGCACCTCACTGTTCGTATCTTGAACCTCCATCTTGACTCAATGTGCTTCTGACGGTCATCTCAGTGCTGCTCAACTCCCCTTATTGATGCCTCCTGGGCCTTCCCGCCAACATCAACCTGGAGCTCGCTCTAGACCCTTCCTTAGCTCGCCGAACACGGAATGTGGCGTGTACTCCTTCAGCCCTCATTCTTTGATCCGTTTGCATTGCTCTTCTTACACTCTTACACATGCAAATAAGCAGAGACATCCTTGGGTCATTGTTGTTGAGATCAGGATATTTTCTACAGCTCATATGCTGTTTTCTGCATCAGCACCTGAGTGTACTGAAAGGACAAGTGAGATGTGAATGTGATAGTGCAAAGAGAGCTTCAAGGGAATTTGTGTCCTATGTTGAGATCACGATGTTCAATTTGGTAGATGCAAAGGATTTCAAGATGAAATCGTGTAGTAGAAAGAGCGAGAAGGGAGCTGTTTGCAAAGTCAGGAGTGAATGAGAAATTAAAACGAGCTTTAATTGGATAGATATAGTCAGATCCAACGCGCATCTTTCCGCAGGGTGCGAGTGAAACTGCATCGATATCATGGAAGCTGGCATCAATGTAATCACGATATGATACTATTTTTCTTTCCATTATGATATGATAGTCTTTACGCTATCACTAGCATGATGTAAGAGTTTATGATACAGGGCTCATATTGAACCATAATAATGAGAGAGCATAAATCGATGTTTTGGAATCAAACTGACTGTGACTTTCGCAGGATGATTGGTGAAGATCTACATGCCCTATTTTCTTGATCTCACCTCCTTTCCTTCCCATCCCTCCTTCTCTGCCTTGTTCCAACCCCCTCCCTTGCCTTCCGCGCCCTTTCCTTCAGCTCAGCAGTTTTCTCTCCTAACGATTGACTGATGCAGAAGCCTTTTGACGGCTCTCGCCTCGGATGCTATCGGCATGACGGGGTCGATATTCGAAGTGAGGATTTGAACCCTTGGAGACATTCTCTTATCTAATCGCTCTTGCCAGGAAGCCATGTTGAGTGATGATCCCTTCGATCATGTGCTTGAAGAATTTGCGAGCAGACCCCGGTCAAGTCGCATCCTTTTCACGCCTCCTCTCATGGTTGAAAGCAGGAAGAAAGCTTGTCTCCGGTGCCGCTCTAGCAAGATCAAGTGTGACTATCTCAAACCATGCTCGGTCCTCCTTGTCCTTCCTACTTGTGCTGCTCCTGAAGTTGCCTGCTCGTCTTCTTTCCCTTGCAGTCGTGTGTACGGAGTGGATGCCCGGGCACATGCATGGAGGATCAAAACCCGGTGACTCGCCGACTCTCTTGAAACGCTCGCTGACCTCGATGCTCAGAGATCTTGTGACTTCTGCAAGCAGAAGAAGTTGAAGTGCAACAAGTTGAGGCCCTGTGAGATGTCTTGAGTTGCTTCGGCTTCCTCTCATCAGCCTCAAGGTGACCAATGCATCAAACGAGCGCGAGGAGAAAACTGCTCAGCTCCCTTCAACGCGGCGAGCTACAAGTCAGCCAAGGCAGCGACGAGGAAGACAGCAGAAGAAGAACCTGCAACACTTCCTCAGGGCTGGGGGCAGCAGGAATTGTTAGAGCCTCCACCTCAAGCCGTTCAAGTTCACCGGCCGATGCCGTTCGCGCTCAAGATCACTTTCTCGGACACAAGCGAAGTGAGACGAGCAAGACCCGTGCTGCTGGTGGCCACTCCTGACTAGTCCGTGGGGCAGCATCGTGAGCGAGAATCACTGCGGCTCCATCACGTCATCTTCCGACGGGTGTGGGAGTCAGGGTACAGCTTGCCGAGGTAGAACTCGCGTGTTTCATAAGCTAGCATGAGCGATGTGCAGGCTCCTCCGCATCCTCAACAACCTTCCTCATGCCATCCGCCAAGTGCTCGACGAAGGGCTGATGGCCCTGGAGGGACTTCGACAAATGTCAGTGGTAAAGCTATCGATCCTCCTTCTGACTTGCTGCTTGTTTGTCGGACAGAAAGTGCAAACGAATCTCGCCCCCCAGCTCTCCGGAGGTCCCGACTCAAGATTCGTCCGTGCTTGAGCTAGTCAAGGATGACAACGAAGGTCTAGTATCTTCACCTGCTGCTGCTTTATCACCCTCGCTTTTCCTGCAGGTTTCTTGAGCTCCAACGACTACATCGGGTATGCCGCTCTCCTTTGACCTGCCCTTACCCCTCGCAGATTTTATGCGTACGAGTGGGACCCACTCACTCAGAAGAGAGTGTCGGTTCAAGTAAACCTTCCCCTCCTGATTCTCTTTCCCTTCTGCTTACCAAGCTTCACAGGTCAGCCAGTGCTTGGCCTCCTTCTTGAAAATGCATCCCGAAGAAGTCCTTGCTCGCGTTGGTCACAGCGATCACTTTGTGAGCCTTCTCCTTTTACTCTCTCCCGTTCTGATCGCTTCTCTTGCTCAGCTGCCCAACTCGGAGATAGAATTCTTGGGAGCTCTCTTCAGTAACAACCTTGCGCCGAGTTTGTTTCTCCGTAAGCATCGTGCAGATGAACTGTTCAGAACCAACGATCTCCCTGCCTACCGCTATCAACGGCTCGTAAGATCTTGCCCAAAGGTACCTTCCCTCCTCTTCCCTCCTCTTCTCTCCCCTTCCTCCCTCCTTCACACTTCCTCACTCTCTGTGCTAGACGGGGAAAATCCTCGAGTCGATGATCGTGAAGTCAACAGCCAGCCGACAATTGGATGAGCATGGCAGGTGAGGCTGCTGGAAGCGGAACAGAAGGAACTTGAGGAGGATGGGGCTAAGAGGAGCAGAGGGGGAGGGAGCTAGTGGAAGGTTAGTCAGGAGGAAGGAAGGCAAAAGCACGTTGATGAGACGGTTGAACAAGAAGTGGAGCCAATGGAAGTGGGGGGAGATAAGCTTACGCCTCCTCTAGAGTCGTGAAAACTTGTCACTTCTTGCACCACGTGAGGCCTTGGGAGTATGACGAAGCCATGAGGTGAAAATCTCTCTCGCTTGTCAGCTCGCATACGCATCTTACTCTCTGATATGTTTGAAAAGACTCAGGCCCGAGTGCTGCCGCCCGTTCCTCACTAACACTGGCGATCGGCGATCTGCCCACCAGCTGCTCTCCGACGCCAACAGGGACTGTCTCTTTGAGGAATGCTTCGAGACCTGGACCAAGACTCCTGAGGTTTTCACCTCGAACACACCTTCACCTCTCCCTCTCAGCCTCCCTTTCTTTCTCCAGGACCCTCCTTACCCTTCCTCTGCCTCCATACCCTTCCTCTCTCATTCTCCTCCTTCCTCTTGCTTTCACTGTGGTTGTCTTCACTTTCCCTCCCCCTTCCTGCCCCTGCCCCTGCCCCTGCCCCTGCCCCTGCCCCTGCCCCTGCCCCTGCCCCTGCTCCTGCTCTTGCTCCTTCTCTTGCCCTCCTTAATCAGCTCTCCGTCTACAACTTCACAGCTGTAATTGCAGTCAACTTACACATGCAACAGGGCGTGGGTCGTCTGAAGAAATTCGTTTGCTTGTTTCGGAATCTGATCCTTCCCTTCAAGCAGGAGCTCGCCAGGTCGTTTCACTCCCTGCTGCTAGTCCTTCTCCATCTTCTCTCGATATGACTCATCTTCCTCATCCTCCACCTCCACCTTCCTATCTCCTCATCCTCATCCTCATCCTCATCCTGTGAATTTACTGAATGACGATTTACACGCTACTGCTGCAGGCTCAAAGCTCTGGAAGCTCAGAATGAGATGCCTTGGGGATAAGGTTATCGAAGATTTGTATTAACTTGTACTACTGTAAACATAGTTGAAATTAATGCTAAGATGCACCTTCACTCTTCACAAACTATACCACCTGTGACAAACCCTCCCTCCCTCCCTCCCTCCCTCCCTCCAGATTCAGCTCCTCTTTGCGTCG